TTAAAATTCCAATGGAATAAATTGTAATAGGCACTTAGGCAAGATGATTAATAACATATGACCACTGAAAGAAGAACAATGCATAAAACAAGTTTCATTTTGACTTTAATAGGCAATGTTGCAAATTGTGACGCGTGACGTCAGGCTTAATATCACTAGTGCTGACACACATCCACTTATACAGTTATGGAGAAATTCTTATACTTACCACAAAAAAGTTTGTCATATATGGGTTTGCATGCGAATTTGCAAAAACATGTCAGAGGAAGTGCGTTATGTCATACTGTATCATTAAATGTCAGGAAACAACATGACCAGGCATATTCTCGTCAATGCTTGACAAAATTACTATTATTCATGTTGCAGTAAGAACGTGCATCATCGCATGCAACCCAAATTAATTTGCAGCATTTTCCTAAATAGTACGAATTTAAACCAAACATGCACAACTCATTACTGTCTAAATCAGGAAGGTGAGGCCTCTCTCTTTTTTGGTGCAATTTTAGGTGAGATTTCCTGTCATGAAGGGCAAACAATGATTATATAGCAATGGCAATAAAAAAATGCTTACACGGACCTTTATAAGGTGTAATATAACTGCGACTGTCATAACTGCACGAAACTATTTCCTCAGCAGGTCAGTGAACCCTGGGTTAAAAGCTCTGCGAGAAAGGAAGTTCAGAAAGCAGAACTCTGTCGCCTGCTGCCCTCTTGTGACAAGTGACAGAACTGCATTAAAGACGATCAAATGCAATAATATTAATAACGCTCCCAGTTTGGTTAAATGCACAGAGTAAACTTTTATAAGATCAAGCAAACATATTTAATGTGAACTGTGTTTGAATCTAAAAGCTAACCTTTACTAAATTTAACAGACATAGCGAAATACATGACGTCCACAAGGCTTTTACTCCTTGTACACTTTGGCAGAATGCTACTACGGAACCCGCTAGGGGACATTGGGAAAGAAATTATTTTTCGGTCCTCCCAAAAGGATTGCGTTCCTTCGCAATAACTTAGCAAATACACTCTGTTCTATTTTGCACACACCATAGTAAATGTTTTTTTGTTTGTTTGTTTTAATTTTTATTTTTACTGTTACCTGCAGTGAGAGCATAAATTCTAAATTACCACAAAGATATATTCAGATAGATAGATAGATAGATAGATAGATAGATAGATAGATAGATAGATAGATAGATAGATA